ACAGAGATTTTAGCACATCTGTTATTTTAGCAAAACGACCTAATCCAGAGGTATAATCCATATTATAAATGCTATTCTAATGAATCCAATATTATTTTCTATCAATTAAAAACTGATTGTCCAAAAACATTAATATTTAATTGTCGACTAATTAATAAATTAAAACATTTTATAAATGAAACGACTAAAAACCAATATTATGTCTATCTTACCTCAACTTATAAAAAAAAATACAAATATGGAAATCAGTATGGGTTAATTAGTGAAATAACATGTTTTGGCATATAAATTAATAAAATAACATGTGTAGTTTAGAAATTTAGTAAGTAACAAAGAAAAATAAAAATTGACAACTTTTTACCTTTTTAATCAATTCAAATTAAAGTTATCACTTTAAATGCATATTTAATGCAAACTGGTTTTTTTTTTAAAAAGAGGTAATAATATTTCCAAAAATAGTCTTGAAATTGACACATATAATATATATGTATATATATATATTCGTTTTTTCTGCATCTTTTTTTCTTTTTCTACTAAATGATTATTTTTTAAAATCTTGAATATATAAATTAAATAGTGAACTATATCAAAAATTAGATATTATTAGCATAAATAGTAGACTATTTGTAAAATATAACAAGTATAATTGAATAGTAAACTATTTATGAATATAACAAACATAGTTGTTTGCTTATGAATAAAGTTAACTAATAGACAACTATATGTTTATATATAGCCAACTATACATGAATATGTAATTAAGTACATTTAAATATAGTTATTTATATTTCTAAGTATATAGATAATAGTGAACTATTTGTGAATGTAATTAGTTTATATAGTTAACTGTTTGTGAAAAAAGTTAACTATATATAGATAACTACATGTGGGTATATAGTTGACTAGATATAAAAATTTATAAGTAATTATATTTTAAAATAGTTAGTATATATCTAACTATATACTCAATTATACACAAAGAGAGTGAATAGTAAACTATTCGTAAATATAACAAGTATAGTTGACTATTTGTGAAGAAAATTAACTAGAAATATAAGTATATTTGGATACATAGTTAACTAAAAGATTAATAGAAATAAAAAATCTTGATAAGTATATTTGGATACATAGTTAACTATATGTATAAATATATAATTAATAAAAATGAAAAGTCTAAACGTTTATGTTGTTAGTTATTCTTTTTCTAATAATACAAAAAAATAAAAATATTATTTATCTTCAATTATTTTTTTGGACATGAGAAAAAAAGAATTTAATATGAGTAAATAATATAGTAAATAAAGTAATAATGAGAATGAAATATGAGATCAATTACCATAAATACATTAAAGATAAAATTGGAATTTCAAGTAATTAGAATATTAGTTACTAAATTTTCTTTTATGTTATGTTAGATAATTAAATATAGAGCCAATAACTAATATAGAGGTTAATTTCTCAATCAGTATATACCTAAAAATATGCTTAAATAATGACACATTATTAATTAACGCAATACAGATCATCGTCTAATATATCTACAGTTTCTCTTTAATCGTGTAACGAACTTGACAAGAAAAGTATTATTTTTTTCTAGAATAAAAGGACATTATTGGGGGAAAGTAAAGAAAACGTGAAGATGAGAAGTGAGCAGAAACAAAGCTGATTTAATTTGATTACCTAATTAATTTTTAAAATAGTTTTAATGAAAATACCAAAATTGCAAAATTCACCGTTGAAAACGCGTCCCTTTCTCTTTCGTTTCCCTCTCTTCTCGTTCCCATGTCTCCCTCTCTTCCTCTCTTGCCTCCTTTGGTCTCTCTTTGATCCAATTTCCATCATCACAAACAAATACTCGAATCTTCACCAATAATTTTCACAGATTCAAACCAAATTCCAA